CTACATCTCCCTCTTCCAATTTAAAACCATTCCCTCTTGTCCTGTCACTGCACTCCCTGACAAAGAGTCCCTCCCCAGCTCTCCTGGAGCTCCCTTCAGATCTTGGGAGGCTGCTCTAAGGTCTCTCCGGAGCCTTCTCTTCTCCAGGCTGAACAACCCCAGCTCCCTCAGCCTGTCTTCATAGGAGAGGTGCTCCAGCCCTCTGAGCATCTTCGTGGCCCTCCACTGGACCCGTTCCACCAGGTCCATGTCCTTTCTGTGCTGAGGACTCCAAAGCTGGACACAGAGCTCCAGGTGGGGTCTCACGAGTGCAGAGCAGAGGGGCAGAATCACCTCCCGAGACCTGCTGGCCACACTTCTCCTGATGCAGCCCAGGATGGGGTTGGCTTTCTGAGCTGCCGGCGCACATTGTTGGCTCGTGTCGAGCTTCTCATCCACCAACACCCCCAAATCCTTCTCCTTAGGGCTGCTCTCCAGCTGTTGATGTCTGCTATTTCAACATAGTATTTCTTGATGCATTCATACATAGCTAAGATACCTGGTTATCACTTGCAGCACATTTTGTAAAGCCAAACAAAAACCCAAACCCAACTCTCTTTCCAAGATGCCACTTCCTCCCCTGGGTGACATTTGGGGAGATCTGTTCTGTCCTTCTACGTTCTTTACCTGAGCTTTTTAGATACTCTCTCAAAGCGCTTTTTCCCAGTCCAAAAGATAAATTATGAACTCAAATGCCTTCGTACTGAGATGCTCTGAGTTAACAGGAGCCAGGTTTGAGTTTAGGTTTTCTGGAGAAGGACAGGATGGGCAGGACCTGCGTTCGCTGCTTTCAGGGGGGCAGCGAGGCTGCAGCGAAGTGGAAAATAAATACCAGCTCTGGTCTCGTGCTGGACTCCTCAGCGAAACTGGAGTTGCTGGGCGGTGGTGGGAGGGGAATAAGAAAGGAGGCAGTAACTGAAGCCGTGTGTCTCGGGGAGCTGGGAAAGGAAGCAAGGACATGGAGAGAAACCCAAGTGATGCACAGAAAGAAAATGAGCGCCCTCTCCCATGAAAGGGCTTTTTATCATGGAAACAAAACTAGATTCTTTCTGCTGAAGGAGTGTAGTGGTTTGCTTAAAACGAGGGTTTATGGTCACTTTGTTAATTGTTCATCCAGATGAATATTCATCCAGATAAGGACCTAATTGTTTCTTTTTTTTTTTAATCTTTGTCTCTTGAGTAGATTTGCATTTATGCAAACTCCTTTGAAGTTTTTTTTAAAGGTTTTTAATTACTATCCACTAAAGTATTTTGAAAACTGCTGCAGTAACGCCGCCGTCTGCACGGTAGGTTTCTGGTAGGCTCTTAACTTGTGTCCTTGCCTGGGATATCAACACTTGACATAAATCATAATGCTGTGTAAATGCCAATCCCTTTTATATTTTCTGGCGTGGCCTCCCGAGGGCAGTTTGTGCTGTTGAGGAGGAGGGAATGCGGAGTTCAGTTGTGAAGTAGAGCATTCCTGAGGAGTGATCCTTCAGGAGAGCAGAGTAATGTGCCTCTTGCAGTGTGGGGACTGTCGTGCCTTCTGTATCTTCGTCTCTTTAGAGATGAAAACTAGTAACTGAATGGCAGGAGATGGCTGAGACTGATGGTATTAAGGATTTAAGGCAAGATAAGTTAATATATGTTGTCAGCTTTGCATGGGTTGGCTTTTTTTAGCACTGAAGGACTATAAATTCATGTTACACTGATGTAATTTAAAGGTGGTAAATATAGACTAAGAGGGAAGGTTTGTATTCTAGTTTTTGTAGAGGGAGATAAGTAATTGATACTTTTTTTATCTAGAGGCAGGTAAAAGTTAGCAGGATTGTAATTTCTAGGTTTTAGTACGAATGTCAAATGCCTACAGCGAATATGAGAAAATCTGGTAACTGTTGTGATCCTGCCACTTTTCAAACCCTTCTTTTTAAATATGTTTGTTTTTGTTAACCCCTTTGTGTCCCTGTTCTCCTTTTCCAGGGCCCTCAAACTCTTTGATAAGGAAAAGTCACTGAGCAACCTCTATACAATTAGAAGTTGAGAAGGTGCGGAGTTTTGCTCAGATGGAAAGGGTGAAGGTGGGAACAGGCTCTTGGAAGGACAAGTGTGTGTGAGCTCAAGGAGGTATTTGCACAAAACCAGGTGGATGTGAAGTATGGAGACTTGCATTTAGGAAGGAGTGTGTTGGACAGGGTTTGTAGAACGTGTCTGGGACAAACATGGAACCACTTTGGATGCGAAGCTTCCTTGTGTTTTAGGGAAAGGGACTATGTAGAGTTAGTGATTACGGGGACTGGACCCTGATCATGTGGTCACTTTTGGGTCCTGTGTGTCCACGAGAGCTGTTACTTGCACACAGGATAAAACCAAAACTAGGGAGCTTAATCTCCCTTGTCACTGCTCGTGAACAACACACAGACACAGGACCTGTCCGACGCTTTGCGGGAGCGCTGCTGGGGGAGGGACGGTGGCCTGTCTGCTGTGTGCTCTGGGAGCTCCTGGCAAGGAACCAGGTCAGAGCCTGAGCCCCCGATCTCCATCACACAGAGTGCTGCAGATATTTTAATAAATCTGTATGGTGGGGAATCCTGCTGCTCCTCCCCTGCCAGGATAATACAGTGCCCCCCCTCCCAGCACAGCGTCCGCCTGGGCAGTGACAGCCCTGACTGCCGGGACTCTGCATCAGCCTTGGAGGGATTCATCTTGTTGAACTCTTATTTCCCTCGTAAGAGCCTATTGCCATCAACTTTATTAGGACTTGGTTCTATTCAGTGGTTTGCTGGAATACTCATCTTTATGTGGCTTTTGGGACAGACTGCAAATACCTGCAAAGCAAGTGGTGTCTGAGCCTTCGGCGCAGGTGCTGCCGCGCTGGGCCGGGGAGGGCTGCAGGCTCTTCCCACCCTCTCAGGATGGAAAGGTCCGTGCCTGCTGTCTGCCTGGTGTCTGTTCCCTCTGAACTTCTCTTTGGGTTCTTTGGTCAGATTCTGGAGAAATAAGTCAGGGTCCATTTTTCTAATTGTTAAATTCTTTGTTTTCTAAATCAGGGGGAAAGAATCTCAGCAGGTAAGTGATTGTGGACTAATCAGATTTGATCTAAACAATTGACCATGTCTGACTCATAAAACAGCAAATGAATGTTATAAAGAAACCAACAAAACCTGTGCTGTGGGTATGTGTAAGGTATGTCTGCAAAATCCTGATCGTTACCTGTAGATCTTTAAAGGATAAAGGTGCAGAGGCTGGTGTCTGAGATCTTGCTTTTCTTGCATTTATTTGTTTCCTGTGCAGAGTTAAATCCTACTTGGCTGTCAAAGGGTGATTTGCCCTTATGGTCAGGTAGAAGTGTCTGGCATCAGGAGTTTGATTTGTGCCCGTGGAGATGATTTAACACTCGGTCTATGAGAGAAGATGAGATGGTTCCTGTAGGAGGGTTGGACACACAGGGGATCTGGCTTCTGTAGCAGACTGTACTGGGGACTGTTTATACAAGGAGTGTATTAGGAAACAGGCAGTGACACTGTTTGGGTTTAGATGAGTTACTGGTCTGTTCCCATTCCCAGTGGAGCAGAGGAAGGCAGGGGACGTGCCAGGGCCTTGTGCTGTGCCAGATGCTCTGCAGGCACTGCTCCTGGGCGCTGGTGCTGGGCTCACTGTGAGTGTCCTTGAGAGCTTCCCCCATCCCCTGGGGCCTTTAGACTCCTCCAGTACATGGAGTCCATCTGCAGTGTCTGTTACAGCCCTTTTCTTCAGTTTCTCTGACATCCTGGGCTACCATAATCACCTTTTTTTTTTTGGGGGGGTGGGTGTGGTATATTTGGTGTCTGTAATGTCTGGAAAGCATAAGAAAACTTCCTTGCCAGCCACTGGGTGGTTACAAACGGGCTATATTTGAGAAGAGAATCCTCTGCTATAACGATTAGCCGTGTATTCTAGTGTTCTCAAGCCTAACAACAGAGCTTAATAATAACTTAAAAAGTAATATATTGCTAAAGTAAAATAGCGCATTCTCCGATGTGCGCTTGCAATTTTCTTTAGAAAATCCCATAGGTCCGGCTCAGACAAGGAGCAGTTGTTTGAAAAAGATGTATCTTTTATTGAATGGGAGTTCCTTTATTGCATTTAGACAGTCTTAAAAGTATTTCAGTTATTATTAGGTCTATGGTGATAAGAGCCTTTAGTTGTTGGGAAATTGCAACCCAAAATAGTCTTATTGTTATGGTTTTTTATATATGTGTGTGTGTAATTATATATAGTGTTATAATTGATAGTAGCATTTGTGGAGGTTTGGAGATAGAAGCACGACAAGTAAATCTCCTTTGCCTTAAATGTTTTAAAGATCTGTATTATTATTCTCAAATTCTTTTTGTAAGAGGTAAGAGTGAACTTAGAGCAATAGTACATGAATTGTCTGCATCAAAGAGGATTTTTCACTCTTCAGCTTCGTCCTGTGTTTGGGAGAGTCACTGCTCAGCAGCTGTAGATGAATGTATGAAGAATTGAAAACTTTTTCCCTCTTGTGTCCAGGAGTGAAGGTTGGAGAAGCCCCACAGCAATGAGTAACCTGATGATTTCTTACCCAGCAGTTCATCCCCTGACACTTTCTCACTTCCTGCTCTTTATCTACAAAAGTTTGTAGATACTGAACTCTGTTAAATTCTTGCCTTTGTTCCACACCCATTACATTTCCAAGACTGTTCTCAGTTGGTATTCTAGTCTTGAATAGACTTGAATAGTCTTACTGTGGATGGCTCCTCCGCGCTGTGTGATACCTGCTGCCCTTGTCCAAAGTGGCAAATGAAAGAGCTCTGAGTTGCCTCCTCTGATGTTTGCCAGCCTTGAGAAACTTCTTTGGCTTATTTAAACACTTGCTGTGTGGATTATGTTTTTGTTGAGTTTTGTATTTCCTTTAGCTTTGAACATGGTAACTTTCTTTTGTTAAGATTAATTTAAAAAAAAAAAAATGTTCTTCCATGTAGGACACAGCTTAGGCTATGGCTTTGTGAACTACGTTACTGCAAAAGATGCTGAAAGAGCAATAAACACACTGAATGGCCTCAGACTTCAGTCAAAAACTATCAAGGTAGGTCTAGATTATTTCCTCCTTCTATGACAATGATGTTCTGATAAACTTCATTCTGGTGGTGAGGCTTGTGTGTTCCCCGACTGCAAGAACGGTAGAATCTGGGAGAAGGGTAGTGAGCTCTTAAGTTTCTCAGGTTTTATGACAGCTTTGTATTCAAAGATTCCCTTCTTTTCATTCCCACCATTTTTACAGCAGTAGGTGGGATCATTCCAAATTGTTCCCAGGCTTTTGAACTGACTTGTGTCTCGGGTATTCGGTGATCTCCATTTTAATTCATGGAAATACGCACGCGCTCCCTTTCCAAAGCAACACCTGGTACTGTGTGTGTAGGAAATCACACCTGCCTGGGTGATTTTTGTAACTTTCTGTAGTAGCAGAAATTAAGATAGAAAACTGCACTGCAGGCTTTGAAATGTCTACTGACAGCACAAGTTCTTGGTGTGATCTGTGGTTACTGACGGGTCCGATGTCTGAGTCAGAACCTCAGATGGGGAAACTTCAATGTAACAAATCTGTTTGTTGGCAGCATCGCTCTTAGTCTGCTGCTGTCTCTCCATAGCAGTGCCATGATGTTCTTTATCTGTTGGATAAGCCCAAGATGAATGGAGTTATCCAGGGACATGACTTCTCTCTTTGTTCTCCCTGTTCTGCTTTTTAAACTCCAATAAAAATACTCCTGCATTGTTTAGTGGGAAACAAATTAACGTGGCTTATGATAAAGTAAATTACACTTTCCTGTTTATACCCTGAACATACCTTTTTTTTCTTTCTTTTGTTTTAAAGGTTTCCTATGCTCGTCCAAGTTCTGAAGTTATCAAAGATGCGAATTTATATATTAGTGGACTACCCAGGTCAATGACACAAAAAGATGTAGAAGATATGTTTTCACGTTTTGGACGCATCATCAACTCACGTGTGCTTGTGGATCAAACTACAGGTGAGCTCCAAGCACTGCCTTCCTAGAACTGGACCGTGTGGCATGTTTGATGTTTTCCAGAGACTGGCAATTCCTAAACTAAATTAGACTTTCACAAACTAACTGTGACAGCTGGTGTCGACCGCTGAAATTATTTTAATAGGGTATCCCCTTTTTCCAATGATCTGTTTTTTTTTTAAACAGGCTGAGTTACGCTGCCCCTTTCTCTGGCCGAGAGTCTGAGCCTCCCATCCTATTTCATGCTGTCACTGTCGGTTTGAGCAGGCTGAGCTGCTGACACTGCTGGGGTGCAGTGTTCTCCTGGGCAGTGTTTGTAATCTGCCGTGCCAACCTTGCCTTTACTTTGCACAAATGCAACTAGTATCCAGTTGGTAAATTCCAGGCTGTAGTTAGGTTAAAAAACATAACAATGTGTTTTGACTTTTATACCAACTTGGAAGTCACTCACACTATTTCCTCATATTTTAAAACATTGGAAGTGTCTTGCAGTCCTTTGTGGTTACTGCTAACTAAAAGAATGAACTTCATACGCTTAGGACTACCCTCTTGAATTTTCTGAATGTATTTTGTTCATTAAAAAAAAGAGAAGAAAAGGGTGGAGTTGCTTAGTTAAGCACTCAGCTCAGGAGAGACCAAAGTTAAGCATTTCCTTTATAATGTTAATTCTGATTTAGTGTTACAATGTGTTCTCACAGAGTTTTAATTTCTCACCTAATTATTTCAGACTGCATAACTGAAGGGTATCCTGTAACCTTAGGTTTTCTGTGTTTTTTCCAGTAGCCCATACAGCACGTATGAGTTTGGAGAGAACTTCTCCAAATTCACATTTTCACTGATTATGCATGTGCTATATTAGAAGATAATCTAATTTTAGCAATTCCACGTTTTACATCTATATACAGTAGTGTGTATGTTTACACACCGTAGTTAAGCAGCAAATTTCATCCTCTGAGAGGCACCTGCTGTGGTTCAGAGTGGGCATGGGCAGCCTTTGGCATTGATCTGACTAAATGCTGGAGTCCAAGTGTCTCCATCAGAGCTGGCTCCTTGTGTAGGCACCTGCTTTTAAGTGTTTCCTTTTGGTCAGACTGTGCTGTAAATGCCATTGTCTGTAGAAGAAATGTGAGATGACAAGTTGAGATCAGGATGCTGACATTGTAGACACTGAAATGTCAAGTGAGGAAAACTCTGTCCTTCCTTTCCTAGAGAAAAGGATTAATTTTGCCCAACTTGTGTGGCTCTGTCTCTAGAGCTCAGTGACAGCTATAGGCAGAAGCAAGAAAAACACCTGTAGAGCACAGAAAACTTATTAATTCAACTGTCCAAACCAATCATCCTTCTCTGGCTGCCAGCGGAGTCTGGATAGCTAATATCTGACAGAGCTATAAAATGAGACTACAGAAGTCACGCAATTAAAATCTCTCCAGGAATAACATAGATTTCATCATGTGTGCTGAGCCATGATGCTGTCAGCTCAGAATCTGCTGCTTGCTTTCAAATAACCTTAACACTGTATCGTTTGAAGAATGTGTTCTGTCCCGTTATGGAGTTTAATGCGCACACATCCCAAGGTCTCTTCACTTCAGAACGTAGCCGTGCCTTGGCTTTAAAACCTGCATTTCATAGCTTGATCTAGTCCCAGTTAGGACAAATTTAATTTGTGCTTTTAGATGTGCCTCCTCAGCAGAGGTTGTTCTCTAGCTGTTGAGAATTAATTTCTTTAAATATATGCTTTCTACAGTATTTATATTTTTAAATGAGCACAGCGAGAGATGAGGTGAGAGGCGCTGAGCGGGACAGATGGGAGTGGGGAGGAAGTGAGAGGTGCTGGGCTCCGGGACAGTCCTCACTGAGCTCTGGGGGATGGTGCTGCTCTCTGCATTCCCAGCGTGGGGCCGGTGCTTCCCCCAGCCTGGAAAGGGAACCCTCAGTGCTCCTGGAGCAGATAGTGCCATCAGCTCTAACTCCAGGAGCCAAGCTGGGCCAGCCTCTCCTGCTTAGGAAGTAACCAGTAAGAAATCAAAAAATGGAATAAATTCCTCACAGAGTGACTCTTTCCAGGTCCCTCTAGAACCCCCAGCTGCACGGTTGGGGCTGGTCACCTCCTGCTGTGGTTCTGCACTGCCTGTCTTCAAAACCTGCAGTGACTCTGTGTGTTAACACGCAATAACAACATGAGCTGCTATTTATGGGAGTTCTCCCAGAGCCCCACATGAAAACACCCCTTTCCTGGAGACATTCCATGGGGAGCTGTAGGGCTTGGATTCCCCTTTGCTTCCCACATGCCCAGGGTTTAGCCCTGTTGCATTTCCTTCTGTGAAATACATGAAAAAATGTTTGGCTGTTACAAACAAATTTTGTGACTTACGACAAGCTTAAACAACCTCTGAAGGGATCTTTGGGGGTTGTCCTGTGCAGGGGTAGAGCAGAGACAACACAACACATTTGATATGGCCCTTTTTGAAAGAGTTGGTGAAGTACTGGGGTTAGTCTGGCTGTAATACCTGCTTTGGAATGAAAGTTAAACTAAATACACCCTTGTAGCTTCACTGCAATAAACGGTATTTCCAGACTATGGTGGAGTCAGATGAGAAGTGGGGTGGAGGAAGAGATCTCCTAAGGCACAACTTTGGCCTCGGACAGAAGGAGAAGAGTGCCCAGGGCTGGGGCTGCAGCGAGGGGAAATGATGCAAATCATAGAATCATCAAATTGTCAGGGTTGGAAGGGACCTTTAAGATCATCGAGTCCAACCATCAACCTAACTCTGATCAAACCCATCACTAACCCATGTCTCTAAGCACCATGTCAACCCGGCTTTTAAATCCCTCCAGGGATGGTGCCTCAACCCCTGCCCTGGGCAGCCCATTCCAAGGCTTAATGACCCTTTCAGTGGAAAAATTGTTCCTAATCTCCAATCTGAACCTCCCCTGGGGCAACTTGGGGACATTTTCCCTTGTCCCATCGCCTGTTACCTGGGAGCAGAGACCGACCCCCCCCTGGCTACACCCTCCTTTCAGGGAGTTGGAGAGAGCCAGAAGGTCTCCCCTCAGCCTCCTTTTCTCCAGGCTGAACACCCCCAGCTCCCTCAGCTGTTCCTCACAAGACTTGTGCTCCAGACCCCTCACCAGCTCCGTTGCCCTTCTCTGGACCCTCTCCAGCCCCTCAATGTCTGTTTTGTGGTGAGGGGCCCAAAAGCTGGACCCAGCCCTCAAGGTGGGGCCTCACCAGTGCCCAGTCCAGGGGGACGGTCACCCCCTGAGTCCTCCTCCCCACGCTGTTCCTGACACAGGCCAGGATGCTGGTGGCCACCTTGGCCACCTGGGCACACTGCTCAGGTATTTAACAGCAAAGGAATCCTTTCAATAGTTACCAAGAGGTCATTCTTAATCACTCTTTAATGAATTAAAAATAAGGTATGGGACAGCTAGAAATAACTGCCGTGGTGTAGATGAACTTGTGATCTCTTCATTACAGGAGGTTAAAAGGCTTTATTCAAGTTGGAGCTTCATGCCCTCTATGAACCAGAGTGTTCTGAGAGTGGAAAACTGAAAACCTTTGGAAAACTCCGTGTCAGTTTTGTGTTTGCAGATGCTTTTTAGTAACGAAGTAATCAACACTAAAGGGGGTTTGATTTGTTTTTAACTGACAGGAATTAATTAATTGGGTTTTTTGGTGGAATTTATTTAAAATGTTGGGAGGTTTTTTGGTTATTGGAATTGTCAGTTGGTGGTGGATTTCTTGGGATTCTCCCACACTGAATTGCTTTTTTTTGTTTTATTAAGTGTCTTAGTCACTGTGGTTGTTATAGCCGAAATGAATGTCTTAACTTGTCTTTTGTTTCTTAATTTTGTGCTTTATCCTCTAGCTGCTGAAGAAACGTTAGTAAATGTAGAGAATTTGAAAGCTGTGACCGTAGAAATATTTAACTTTTTTGGTTTTTGCTTTCAAAGTTATTTTGAGTTTATCCTGAACTTCAAATTTTTTTTTAATTTTTTTTTTTTTTTTGGTTTGGTTAAAAGGTTTGTCCAGAGGGGTCGCATTTATCCGGTTTGACAAAAGGTCAGAAGCAGAAGAGGCAATTACAAATTTCAATGGTCACAAACCCCCAGGTTCCTCCGAGCCTATTACAGTGAAGTTTGCAGCCAATCCTAACCAGAACAAAAATGTGGCACTGTTGTCGCAGCTGTGTCATTCACCAGCTAGACGGTTTGGAGGGCCAGTGCATCACCAGGCGCAGAGATTCAGGTAGGTTAGGAGGAATAATGCGTTTAAGGCTGTAACTGCTGTCCCCGGGTCCCTCTGGGAAACTGTCCTCTTGCCGCTCCGCAGCAACACGTTCGTTGCAGCATGTGTGAATGAATACAGAGTGCACGATGTCTCCTGCAGTGTTATGTAAATAAAGTGTTGAATTAAAATATGATTAAAGTAAAATCTTACTTGTAAAATTTATATTGAAGTTAATTATGTAAAGGTACCTACACTACGGTGTCTGTTTCTACGAGTGGGTGTACAGTGAGATGACAGACAGGAGCGGGTTCCGGGTGGGTGTTGGTAGGTGCCTGTCTCAACAGATCCCCAGTCTGGAGTCCGTATCTCTGAATGCAGATATAATTTGGTAACTTAAATAAAGCTCTGAACCATTGGTTCCAGCAGGGAGGTGTTACAGAAAAAATAGGAAAACCCTATTACCGATAATGAGATTCTGTGGGATTTCTTTCTTTGAGTCCTCATAAGTTTAGTAAGATTATTGAGTAATTGCAGTATATTGTCTGCTTCTGGAGCTGTGGAAGATATTATGTATTTTGCCTTTGAGAATAGCCTTAGCTGCTTTGAGTAAGAATTGCTTGAATTTGTTTTGCCTTAGCTGCTTAAAGGAGGGTGTTGGTAGTTGGACTGTACTCTGGAACATGCATCATATTTACTGTCTTGCAATTAAGTAATTGGCTTTATTATTAGATGTGTTCATGAGAGTTTCTGAGAGTAGTGTTTCCCTGCTGATAATTTACTTTTTTTGTTGTCTTTATTTCCCTCTGATGTATCCAATTAGCTCAGCAAAATTGAACTAAAACCTCCAGCAGCTTTTTGCAGTGCTACCATTGCCGTGTTGCTGGGACCGTTCCATAGAGCCTCAGTTGAGCATTTTAAGAGCAGGGGGGTGTAATGTGTCTCCCATGAGACTTTATAGTCCCCTTTTGTTCTACACTAAGGGCAATCAAACAGGTTGCCCAAAGACTGTGGAGTCACCATCTTTGAACAATCTCAATACCTGGCTGCAACGGGCCTGAGCAACCTGCTCCGGGTGTCCCTGCTCTGAGCAGGGGGGTGACTGGGGGGTCCCACAGGTCCCTGCCAGCCTCAGCCGTTCTCCCATTCCCTTCAGCTGTAGCCCAGGCAAGTTTAGTGCAGGCAGCTCCAGCTCCTTCAACAAGATTTCATTTCCCCGAAGCACTCATCTCCACACCTTCTAAGCCACAGTAAAAATAAGTAAAGTATTTATGTTAATAGTTGCAGGTGAAATTAAATTTTAATGACCCCTTAAAATCATAGTCATAGAATTATTTAGGTTGGAAAATACCTTTAAGATTGTCAAGTCCAACCGTTAACCCAACGCTGCCAAGTCCAGCAGTAACCCATGTCCCTGAGCACCACAGCTGCCTGGTTGTTCTCCAGGGATGGTGACTCCACCACTGCTCTGGGCAGCCTCTTCCAATGTTCGTTTTTTTTTTAAACAGGCTGAGTTACGCTGCCCCTTTCTCTGGCCGAGAGTCTGAGCCTCCCATCCTATTTCATGCTGTCACTGTCGGTTTGAGCAGGCTGAGCTGCTGACACTGCTGGGGTGCAGTGTTCTCCTGGGCAGTGTTTGTAATCTGCCGTGCCAACCTTGCCTTTACTTTGCACAAATGCAACTAGTATCCAGTTGGTAAATTCCAGGCTGTAGTTAGGTTAAAAAACATAACAATGTGTTTTGACTTTTATACCAACTTGGAAGTCACTCACACTATTTCCTCATATTTTAAAACATTGGAGGTGTCTTGCAGTCCTTTGTGGTTACTGCTAACTAAAAGAATGAACTTCATACGCTTAGGACTACCCTCTTGAATTTTCTGAATGTATTTTGTTCATTAAAAAAAAAAGAAGAAAAGGGTGGAGTTGCTTAGTTAAGCACTCAGCTCAGGAGAGACCAAAGTTAAGCATTTCCTTTATAATGTTAATTCTGATTTAGTGTTACAATGTGTTCTCACAGAGTTTTAATTTCTCACCTAATTATTTCAGACTGCATAACTGAAGGGTATCCTGTAACCTTAAATTTTCTGTGTTTTTTCCAGTAGCCCATACGGCACATATGAGTTTGGAGAGAACTTCTCCAAATTCACATTTTCACTGATTATGCATGTGCTATATTAGAAGATAATCTAATTTTAGCAATTCCACGTTTTACATCTATATACAGTAGTGTGTATGTTTACACACCGTAGTTAAGCAGCAAATTTCATCCTCTGAGAGGCACCTGCTGTGGTTCAGAGTGGGCATGGGCAGCCTTTGGCATTGATCTGACTAAATGCTGGAGTCCAAGTGTCTCCATCAGAGCTGGCTCCTTGTGTAGGCACCTGCTTTTAAGTGTTTCCTTTTGGTCAGACTGTGCTGTAAATGCCATTGTCTGTAGAAGAAATGTGAGATGACAAGTTGAGATCAGGATGCTGACATTGTAGACACTGAAATGTCAAGTGAGGAAAACTCTGTCCTTCCTTTCCTAGAGAAAAGGATTAATTTTGCCCAACTTGTGTGGCTCTGTCTCTAGAGCTCAGTGACAGCTATAGGCAGAAGCAAGAAAAACACCTGTAGAGCACAGAAAACTTATTAATTCAACTGTCCAAACCAATCATCCTTCTCTGGCTGCCAGCGGAGTCTGGATAGCTAATATCTGACAGAGCTATAAAATGAGACTACAGAAGTCACGCAATTAAAATCTCTCCAGGAATAACATAGATTTCATCATGTGTGCTGAGCCATGATGCTGTCAGCTCAGAATCTGCTGCTTGCTTTCAAATAACCTTAACACTGTATCGTTTGAAGAATGTGTTCTGTCCCATTATGGAGTTTAATGCGCACACATCCCAAGGTCTCTTCACTTCAGAACGTAGCCGTGCCTTGGCTTTAAAACCTGCATTTCATAGCTTGATCTAGTCCCAGTTAGGACAAATTTAATTTGTGCTTTTAGATGTGCCTCCTCAGCAGAGGTTGTTCTCTAGCTGTTGAGAATTAATTTCTTTAAATATATGCTTTCTACAGTATTTATATTTTTAAATGAGCACAGCGAGAGATGAGGTGAGAGGCGCTGAGCGGGACAGATGGGAGTGGGGAGGAAGTGAGAGGTGCTGGGCTCCGGGACAGTCCTCACTGAGCTCTGGGGGATGGTGCTGCTCTCTGCATTCCCAGCGTGGGGCCGGTGCTTCCCCCAGCCTGGAAAGGGAACCCTCAGTGCTCCTGGAGCAGATAGTGCCATCAGCTCTAACTCCAGGAGCCAAGCTGGGCCAGCCTCTCCTGCTTAGGAAGTAACCAGTAAGAAATCAAAAAATGGAATAAATTCCTCACAGAGTGACTCTTTCCAGGTCCCTCTAGAACCCCCAGCTGCACGGTTGGGGCTGGTCACCTCCTGCTGTGGTTCTGCACTGCCTGTCTTCAAAACCTGCAGTGACTCTGTGTGTTAACACGCAATAACAACATGAGCTGCTATTTATGGGAGTTCTCCCAGAGCCCCACATGAAAACACCCCTTTCCTGGAGACATTCCATGGGGAGCTGTAGGGCTTGGATTCCCCTTTGCTTCCCACATGCCCAGGGTTTAGCCCTGTTGCATTTCCTTCTGTGAAATACATGAAAAAATGTTTGGCTGTTACAAACAAATTTTGTGACTTACGACAAGCTTAAACAACCTCTGAAGGGATCTTTGGGGGTTGTCCTGTGCAGGGGTAGAGCAGAGACAACACAACACATTTGATATGTCCCTTTTTGAAAGAGTTGGTGAAGTACTGGGGTTAGTCTGGCTGTAATACCTGCTTTGGAATGAAAGTTAAACTAAATACACCCTTGTAGCTTCACTGCAATAAACGGTATTTCCAGACTATGGTGGAGTCAGATGAGAAGTGGGGTGGAGGAAGAGATCTCCTAAGGCACAACTTTGGCCTCGGACAGAAGGAGAAGAGTGCCCAGGGCTGGGGCTGCAGCGAGGGGAAATGATGCAAATCATAGAATCATCAAATTGTCAGGGTTGGAAGGGACCTTTAAGATCATCGAGTCCAACCATCAACCTAACTCTGATCAAACCCATCACTAACCCATGTCTCTAAGCACCATGTCAACCCGGCTTTTAAATCCCTCCAGGGATGGTGCCTCAACCCCTGCCCTGGGCAGCCCATTCCAAGGCTTAATGACCCTTTCAGTGGAAAAATTGTTCCTAATCTCCAATCTGAACCTCCCCTGGGGCAACTTGGGGACATTTTCCCTTGTCCCATCGCCTGTTACCTGGGAGCAGAGACCGACCCCCCCCTGGCTACACCCTCCTTTCAGGGAGTTGGAGAGAGCCAGAAGGTCTCCCCTCAGCCTCCTTTTCTCCAGGCTGAACACCCCCAGCTCCCTCAGCTGTTCCTCACAAGACTTGTGCTCCAGACCCCTCACCAGCTCCGTTGCCCTTCTCTGGACCCTCTCCAGCCCCTCAATGTCTGTTTTGTGGTGAGGGGCCCAAAAGCTGGACCCAGCCCTCAAGGTGGGGCCTCACCAGTGCCCAGTCCAGGGGGACGGTCACCCCCTGAGTCCTCCTCCCCACGCTGTTCCTGACACAGGCCAGGATGCTGGTGGCCACCTTGGCCACCTGGGCACACTGCTCAGGTATTTAACAGCAAAGGAATCCTTTCAATAGTTACCAAGAGGTCATTCTTAATCACTCTTTAATGAATTAAAAATAAGGTATGGGACAGCTAGAAATAACTGCCGTGGTGTAGATGAACTTGTGATCTCTTCATTACAGGAGGTTAAAAGGCTTTATTCAAGTTGGAGCTTCATGCCCTCTATGAACCAGAGTGTTCTGAGAGTGGAAAACTGAAAACCTTTGGAAAACTCCGTGTCAGTTTTGTGTTTGCAGATGCTTTTTAGTAACGAAGTAATCAACACTAAAGGGGGTTTGATTTGTTTTTAACTGACAGGAATTAATTAATTGGGTTTTTTGGTGGAATTTATTTAAAATGTTGG